TACAACAACGCGCAACTTTCGTTTCCCAATAAATATTTAATGCCGCCATAAAGTTCACGAATGGCATTGTCAACCGCACGATAAATAATACACACTCGCGATGCTCCAGGAGTTATAAATCGCCCGTGGATCTTTATGAAAACGTAGTAATTTCCCACGTGCGGTCGTTGCCCCGGGAAATCCCCGAATTAGATCTGCGATTAAATTAACAGCGATCGATTGGACTGAGAATAACGTTTTCACTCCGTCGAAACGTTTTGCACTCCGACAGACCGGAAAGGTATCGTTAATTCGTTTTTGTCGAGCATCAATCATTCGATCAAGAAATAGCGAAATTTTTTTTCGCTATGAAATTCGATCGGCAAATTGAACAGAAGGAGACACGTGTAACGCGCTAATCGCGTGCGATCGGTCTGGAAAATTAATGCGCGAACGGATAATAATTCCGAGGTGGCTTAACCGGGTTTCTTCTTTTTTTTTACGGGCGCGTGCGTCGGAGGAGAGGGAGGTGGAGGATTGAGAAACATCGCAGGTGCAAAGAGGCGCGGAGGCGGATTCGCGCGGTGGTCGCGCGATGGCCGCGGGATGTGCCGGTGCATCGAGAGGGATCAATGAACAAGTTCAATAACCTTAAATCCACTTGACGAAGCGGACTACCCCGTCGGGTACGAGTCGCTGCGTCGCTTCAACAACCAAAATAGATATTCATTTTCCAAGAACGCTATTTTTCCCCAGTCCCAGACACAAATCCAATACCCGCTGATTTAAGTGCCCCCTCCCGCCCTCCCTCGCGCTTAAGGTCAAAGACCCCCTCCCCCCCGGCGTATCGCCGGCCTGTAATCCCGCCCGTCCTCCGATACGTGCTAATTACCCGGTCTCGTTTATTATTTCTTCCGTTCCACTCGTTCGATTCGTTAACGCCGCCGCTGTCGCCGCGACGACCGTCGAGAGTCGCGATACCATCGCGCCGCGGTTACGTCCGGATTTAATCGTGGCGTCAACGACACGGCGAAGTTATAACTATGCGTCCGTGGTTGTACCTTCCGGAGCTGGCTCGGATATCCTCCTCGACGTCGGTTATAAAAACGTTTAACAGGCGACACGAGGGTCGACGTCGAGTGCGCTTGCGATAACGTGCACCGCGTTTTTATTAACAACCCCCGTCGAACAAACCGACGTCCCTATCGGACGAACGGCGGTCTGATCTTCAACGTGCGGCGAATGTCTTCGAGACACGGCAAAACTTTATGCGACAGCTGATACCGCTCTCCCGAGCTCGTGCATACTTTACTATTCTTCTAACAGTGTTTGGGCATTGCGAGGCTCACGTGAACCGGTACGGGAGTGACGCTCGTACGAAACTGTGTGTTTAACGAGATGTGTCCTAAAACAGGGGAGCAACACAGGGAAAAACGCATAATAACGCGCGTTTTTTGCATTTGTGACGGATTAACATTGTATTTACTCGTTCCTCCGACAACCGCAATAATTGTATTTATGCTATGGCGGCTTCGCCGTCGTCTCTTTGTTTATTGAACCAATCGCTCGTACGATTGTATCGTTAACGAGCGCGATTGGATATGCCGCTGAAGGCAATTGCGGATTTTACAGCATTTCTTTTTCGTGTAAAATTTGTAAAATATATTCTAAAATACGCATACGTTGAAGCTTCTTGTTTTTTTATCTTCTTTCGTCAATTATAAATTATTATCTTTAGTTTATTTTAAATTAATGTTATTAAAAATTATATGATTTTACTCTCTTGCAATATAATTTTTAAGCTATATTGCATCAAAGATTAAAAAAACATACGAAACGAATAATTTTGGCATGGAAATCATAATAAATATAACAATCATAATATATATATATAATGAATATTTAACTTATAATTATGTAAATTTATGAAATATTTTTTAAGTATATAAAAGACCGGAGACTTACCTTGTGCGAATTGAAAATATCAAATGCTCCGATTTATAGCACCAAATCGATCACAGATTGCACACGAAAATTCGTAAGAATCGACTTACATTCGTATAGATGTATATCTGATTTGCTGGATTTCCACACGCGCGCGAGGCTGCGTACGTGATTCCGCAAACGCAAAGGAAACGCGCAAAAACAGTCGGCAAAAGTTTGTGATTCTGATCCCTTTTTCTTTGTCACGGTACTGCTCTCGTAGGAGCGAAACCAAGCGAGCCAATCAAAATTTCGGCACGATCACGGCGAGCATCGCTCGCGAACTGAATATTCTCACGGGGGTGGAAGCGTCAAGTGGAAGTGAACCACGGTGCTGGAGAGGGTAAAATGGGGCAAGAGGGGTTGGGAGAATGCGCGCGTAGAAGAGAAACGACGGGGAGTGAGTAGGGGGAGGGGGGGGGGTTAGCGATGTTGCAAAGGGGGATGGACGATGCTATTGGCGCACGCACAGACGCCGGGTTAGAATAGTTAAACTTGGCGGACCATCGATAAATTTGACTTTATTTTATTTAAACTTTTCAAATAACTAAAGTTATTTTTGCAACTAGTTATGCTACGTCGTATAAAATTTCTTGGAACTGATACATTTCCACCTAAAAATGTATGTACTTTGAAAGTTCGTGAGTTAATAAATAATTTTTATAACGTTTTTCTCAGAATTATTAAAGACGACGAAACTTTATTTTATGTTGACTTCAAATCAAATCTTACGTTTTAAATATTTAAAAAATGTATCATTAATCACAAAAATATCTAAAATTAAATATTGAAGAATCTAAATTGATGTCTAATAAAACTTTTTTAACTCTTGATTGATAATAATGGGCGCAATTACCGATATTTTTTTTCTTATCTAGTAGATTTGTTTGCTTTAGTCTTCCTAGTATTTTCAACAATTTTAATCTTAACAAATCATTTTGTGGAAAATATTAGTTCGTGGAAAAGTTATATAATAAGTAGTAAACTTACCCGTAGATACAACCTGAACCATCTAATAATGTAAGCATAATTCACAAGCGAAAGTGGGCCACGATGAGGAACTTTAACTTAAACGCCACGTCCTATGCCGCAAGCTGACGCCAAAAAAAACTGGCAGTTTCAGGTCTCGTTTACTAATTCTCGCTCCCAGCTGTAGAGGGTAGTTCGCTCCTCGACCATTCAGCCGTCATCATCCACTAACGCGGCGAATTTCGGAGGCTCTAAAAGTGATCATAAGCGCGACCTATATTATCGTAACTCGATTTTAGATACTGGAAGCTGCTTCCTCCAACAGACATTCTCCACGAGCACCTTCTTTCGCTTCGGAATTTTCTCAACAATTCGCCGTTAGCGAAAACAGCTGCTGAAAAATCGCGACGCGTCAAAAATTATTTCCCCGCTGGATCGATCGTAAATCTTGGAAGAGAAGATCGAACACGCGTGTTTGATTTCGCATAATAATAAAGCCGTACATTAAGACCGACGAGATGGATTGAATCTTCGTGACGCGACAAGGGAGAGATCGATCGTAGGCAAAATGGCCCGTGCGATTATATTCAGATCGTAATACCTATCGTAATCCTTGGCGACGAAATGAAGGATCCTGACCAGTCGAACATAAAGTTATGCTTTTAACCGGGAATATTTCATAAGACGATGCGTACCCGGAATTATTCAATATCCATGGAATCCTTTGAAGTCTCCCGCCAAAGCGTCGGTTGCCTTCCTTAAAGTCTCTCTCTCTCTCTCGTTTCCTCTCGCTCATCCTCAACATCTGTATAGGTCTATCGTGTCCCGTTCTTCCTCGTGATGCCCCTTCTTTTATTTCGCGGGGTATATACCTCGATGACCTCACCGAAAAAAAAGGGATATTAAACCAGGTGCGCGGGACCGCGAATATTTCACGGAAACATCTCGATTATGGAATAAATTAAGAACGAGTACATCGCCGGTAATAGCTTCTATTTGCATTTAGAGATGAGATTGCCGTCGTGTACGTCCGCGAAAGAGTAAGGAAAATATCCTCGAGGATTTTGACTCGTTGATCGAGAAGACGAGACGCGAAACAATATGGCGTGATTCAGCAAGGAATCGATAAAATGTAACTTTGAACAGAATTTCAATATACACGAATTTCTCTAAATCTACATATTTTATTACAATACATTTATTAATAAAGTTAGATTTTTTTTATTAAAAAAAAAATATAATATATGAAATAGAAGACCATCGAGTCTACCTTTTACAAGGAAGATTTCCGAACTTCGATTTTCAAAAAACTACTTTTTCTTTATCTTTTAGACACACGAAAAATTATTTGGAAATTATAATTTTGTCACACAAAATGCTGCGAAAATCGCGACTAATTTTTTACTAATATTTTACATATATTATTTTTACTATTTTTTTTAATATGTGTGTTTAACGCGTATGTATCATGGAACTATGTTCTTCCGGTTCTCCGATTCTCGGCAAATTAATATTTTTGAATCTTTAAGCGTGTAAAAAAATCATTTTGAACACGCCTTTTTTTAAAAGAAGGACACGCAGGAGAGTGAATGTAGCGCGAAATTGGTTAAAGCAGATCGAGATACACGCGTCATGCATTTCCAAAGGCGAATTTGTAATGCCGCGTTTGGTTCACGCATTAGCGCGCGTAATAGAAACCAATAAGGGATTCAATCTCGAGAGAACAGTTTGGTGAGGCGCAAGCCGTGTGTTGGTGCAAGTAGATAAAGCGGCCGTTGTGAACGTTTCCGTCTTATGCAACCTATCCCTAAAGATGAACCGACTGCGTCCACCTCCACAGACGCGCGAGCATCGAATAACGTATGGATACGAGAGAAGCAAGCAAGGAATCCACGTAGGCGAGTGATGATTCCTGCGTCGATAGAAGCGAAGCCATTTCCATTTGGCTAGACAATCGCGAGAGCCATTGACACACACATAATATTAACTCATTACAAACTCATTAAGTTAGTTAAGTTCAGAATTACGCTTCCAGATCGATTTGGATAGGGCGGGACGAGGACGAGGGGGAGTACGAGGACAACACCTGCTGTCACCGCGCGACTTTCTGCAACCCCGTGTTACGGGAGATCCTCGTGACCGACGTGATCTCCGCGTGTTTCGGCCTACAGCTGACATGGGCGGACCTCTTCTGGCTCGCGACCGTGAGCGGCATAATCCTGCTGGCCTGGGCCGTTTTGTATTTCCTACTGGGCGACATGATCCTACCCGGCGGCAGCGTGTTTGGCCTCCTCGTCCTCGTCATTTTTTCCTACGCCCTCGGCTGGACCCTCGCCTGCATCCCCCACTTACACCTCCCGCCCATCTTCGGCATGCTCCTCGCCGGCATAATACTGCGCAACACCGACGTTTACAACATACACGACATGCTCGGCCCGGGCATAACTTCCAAGATCAGGACCTTCTGCCTGACCTTCATTATGGTACGTGCGGGCCTGAAGCTGACGACGACCGCGCTGAAGGCGCATCCAGTGTTCGTGACCCTCCTGGCCCTCGTCCCGTGCACCGTCGAAATGCTGGCGGTCACCGTCTCGTCTAAATATCTCCTCGAGTACCCGTGGAATTGGTCCTTCATGACGGGGTGAGTCCCCGCCGCGTTTTACTTTCATGCCGCACGAAAATTCACAGAAAATCGGGGGGGGGGGGGATGATTACAGAAATTCTTTTATATTTTTTTTTAGCTTAATAATTATCGCTGATTAAATAAAATTTTTATCAAATATATTTTGATAAGGAATAATCGTATAAAAAAAAAAATTGTTATTGTTGAATATTAAGAATTGATGATTCAAAAAAGATTTGAAGATTTATAATGTAGAACTAAAAAGTTGTCGTGAGATTGTCATGTGAGAATGTAAAGACAATTTATAAAAACGATAAATTCCCTTCAAGGACAATCGTGGCCTGTATGTCTCCTGTAGTAATAGTCAACTGCATGCTTGCCTTAGCTGAACAAGGGTACGGAGAGGACAAAGAATTTGCCAGCTTGTTATGTACCGCGGCATCCATCGACGATGTCCACATCGTGTCTTTGTTTTCCATCTGCTTCTCTTTCGTTTTTAGCAACGGTATACAGAAAATCGTAAGAAAATCGTAATGACATACTGACATTTACGAAGCTTCCTCTTACCTTAATCTTCCGAATAACGGAAATTTTCAAAGAGGAAATTTTTCGACTTCTTAAATAGAATAGAAGATAAAATTTTATTAAAAAATTGGGGAAGGGAATTGCTTTCGTATCAGAGATTTAGACTGTATCTCTCCCAAGAAAAATGATCTCGGGAATCTTCGGGAGAACAGAAAATTTCGCTGCGATCGAAAACGATACATCTTCGAGAAATCATATTTCGTTATCTCTCTTCAGTATGAATCGCGATATTTATACGGTAAAAATTTCATAGCTTGCCATGACCCTTGACGCCTTAACGGTTTGCGATGTCGGGCACCGGCAAGCTGGTGGCGAGCTGTATAAAAAAATCTAAACGTAAAAAACAAAGAGGTTTCCATAAAGCGAGTCATACATCTTCCTAGATGACAGGAGAACAGAATGGTGGTCCTATATCCCCGGGGGGATTCGAGATTTCCTTCTGGGACTTATAGTGGGAATTATCTTGGGCTTCGCCCTGGCCTTTTTCCCTCATCGCAATCACGTAGGTACTTTATTCATTTTCCCCGCATCCGAGAGATTACGCAATTCGGGTCACGTATCGCGTGAGGGCACGTTCGTGTAATCTGAACTAACAAGAGCAGAACTTATTAACGCCTTTTTTTTGCGATATTTTATTAAAATATCGCTCACGTCGTCGTGCGCGCGAAAGTTAAAGTTTTACGGAAGCGAAGAAACAGTCTTTCGTTCGATCGCATTTAGCGCATATTTATATAAAATATGAACTTGGTGCACGACGCTGCCGCATACTCTCGATACTTTTGCTGAAGCACTTAAAAATTTGACCGGATAAAAATTTGAAAATAATTTTGTCGAGTCATGAAAAATTATTACACGGGACCCCCAAGCATCGTGATAACGATGCGGCAAAAATTTTATTATTATTCGTACAAATGAAACGTCACGTATTCATTTAATTATCTCTAATTCATTAATTATCTCTAAATCTATCTGTCTAAATTCTTTTTGCTGTTGGATCTCAGAAATATGCAACGTTGTATCGCATTGCTGGCTTAACTCTTGCATCTTTAACGTGTACCACAGCAGCATCCAGACTGGCGGTCACAGGTGGAGGATATCTCGCTACTATCATATTATCATTCATTGCTATTCATGGATGGCGACTCTTAACGATATCGTATGACGTAAGTAGTTATAGTAGATAAATAAATGTACACTCCGCCAGAATTCATCTTACAAAATTTTCTCGTCTTCATTAACTCGTGCCACTCATTATCTCTGATAGAACTAGATAGAAATTTCTATATGAAGGAGAATTAAGGCATCAAAATTATGAGTCAATTAAAAGATCAAAAAAATGTAATATTTATTTATGAGGATGTTGAAGTTGCTAGTGAAAAAGATGTACATATTTACATTAGTCATCTTCAATGAATAAGTATTACATTTTTTTCATCTTTTAATTGGCTCGTAATTTTGATCGTCGCCTTAATTCTTCTTGCATTTGCATATATCGAGCTTAAAAAATTTATTAATCTATATGAAGAAATTGAACTTGATTATTTTCTTTACAGACGACATTTTTTCACAAGACATTTTATTTCGTCTGGCATTTCGTGCAGCCGATTTTAGGAGGCGTGGTCGGTGCCGATATTGACTTTCGAAACTGGGCTATATCCAGATTTGGACTTTATCTCGCTTGTGTACTTATGGGAATATCCGTAAGTTATTTCGAGTAAGATGTGTGTGTGTGTGTGTGTGTGTGTGTATGTGTGTGTGAAAAATAAATAAGTTTCAAAAGCGCAAGTAGGAAACTCTACTTTATGTATTTTATATTCGACTTTACTTCGAAATAAAATTTAAAGATTAATCTTCTCGCGATGACGTTGCTTCTTTTCGTATCATCTATCTCATAAATACGAAATATATCGCTGGCGATGCTATAAAAATTTTATACACCTTTTTAAATTTAGGTGCGCACCACCACCGCCTATTTAACAACATTTCGAATGCCTTTTACATGGAAGGAACGATTCTTCGTCGCCATCGCTTGGGTACCGAAAGGAACTTTACAGGTAAAACGCGTACCCTCCTCGCTCCGAGCGTGAATTCTTTATTGGAGATGGAAAAAAAAATTGATTATTCGACGATTGATGATATTTCGAAAACTATAGGCGGCGTTAGCGCCGATGGCATTTGAGCGTGCTAGAGAAGAAGGCGACCCTATGAAAATAGAGTTAGCCCTCGATGTGGTGAGGATATCCGTAATCGCCATAGTGTTTCTGGCGCCACTCGGAGCGTTCGGCATGATGACTAGCGGTCCCTATCTCCTGAACAAGATCGATATCGAGGAACAGCAAAGGGAACGGAAATTGAGCTACATGCGCATGGTCGCTCTACAACCTGTTAGAACGCGTAAAGAAACGATAAAACCGGCCCGCGATACCGTTAACGACTCTCTCGCCAATAGAAGCAACTTTGTAAATGTAGCTTTGTAAATGTAGATTACCGGATACATGCCACTTATAGACCTAATAGCACCTTCGAAAGATATCGCTCTCGCTTCCTTGTAAAATTTCTTGTAAATATATTGTAGAAAAATATAGAGGAAGAAAAGAAATTAAGATTTTCATCTGTTCTTTTATCCATTTGTAAAAAAGAAAAAAAAATTCGAAATTCTCGAAGTCAAATTTTACTCTTGCGTTTTTTTTTTTTTTTTAGTTCAAATAAATTTGTTATCGAATATTATTTAGTATCATGCGGCCGTCGTCGCGGAAATTGTGTTTTTTGACGTGTCAAAAGGCAGCCGTGGGAACAATTATGTTTTAATATTAGCGAGATATGTTATTGTGTTGCAGGAAATTACAAATTTTTTTTATTTTTGGAAAAAAAGTTGAAATATAAAAAAACGCAGCGCTGTTATTAATTTTCTCAAGAAAAATTAAATTTTTAAAAAGCTAAAGAATAAAAAATGTTCCTTGACATATCCTTGACAACAAAGAGTCTTTACATTTCAAATCCCAATTATTTTCATTTACTGTTAGTATCGCATCGAGATTAAGACATTCACCTAGATTCTCGAGTATCATGTTACATACAATATTTCGCCGGGAATATACGGTTATTATCGCGATACGGAAATGACTGTGGCGTCTCGCATTACGGCAGCGCAGTTTCGGCGTGGGGTGTCGTCGACGTAAACAAATGTATTCGGGGGTGAACGAAAACGGGAGAGACGAGACGAGGCATTATGCAAGACCGTGCGTTTCCGTATTTAAAACGCGCGTAGCGCAAGCGAGAGTACGGCTCGGTTGTTTGGCGTCTCCGAGACGATCATTATTGGCAAAGTGAAACTGGGGCAGCGTCGCCCGCTCAAGCGACGTGATAGGGAGCATTGTGCTTATTGTTCGTAAATAGAATCGTACGCGGCGACGAGGCACGTGGCGCCGAGATAAGGAGACGAAAGGCGATGATACCTTCCCATATGCAACGCGTGCTCTAACCGCCTTGATTCTCACGGCGGCTGATTATAGCATGCTATTATAGCATGACTACGCCGATTCAGACTCTAATAATAATTTGTACATTTCGCGTGCGAATGATATTTTATGAAAAATAAAAATGTAAAAGAACAACGAAATTGAAGAAAAATCTATCTTCGGAACTTTATATTCTTTTATATCACATTATATTTATTTTTATATATTTTATGTTTTACATTTTTTATATTTTTATATTATTATATTTTATTATATATTACACACACTACACACATACAACACACACACACACACACACAACTACACAACTATATATATTATATTAATATTTTAAATGTATATATTCTTAGGAATATTTCAAATTTTCATAGCGTTTCTACCGTTTTAAATTTTATTAAATAAATGAATGAAAATATATGGTTTGCATAACTAAATCTGCGGGACAACGCATTTTTCTTCTTTTTTTGCGACACGTCTATACTGGTTATACTTTTAATAATCTGCTCTATATAAAATGTAAATCATTAAGGACCATTGCACATAAAAAAATTATAATCCGATTTTAAAACCGTAAACAACCAAACAATCGTAATTAAATACCTCCAAATAATTGTAATAATGTTAGAGACTATTTAATAATCGATTGATTGATCATTCGCGACTTTATAACAGAATCATTCGTGAATTGTAATTTTCACGCAATGCACCTTGCAATGACCTTAATCAAGCAGTGTAGAATAGTGTAGTGCAGTGTAGATGAGTGCGCCATCTCTAGGCTTTTTTTTGGAAAAGCAAGAGGTACACAATTGGACAATCTACATCAATTTATATCTTTCTGTTTTTAAGGTTTATGGTTGCACATGTAGAAGTAACGTGGAAATTATTTATATTCCTTCGAAATATCCTGAAACACTTGCAAGAATGGTTCAACAAAAAAAGGTAACGTTTAAAAAATTGATTTATTAAATCGATAAAGATGAAATTGTAAAGATTGAAATAGTTTAATAATAATAA